CCTGCTTTTCATTCATTTTTATCAAAATACTCTCAGAAGAGAACTTGGCTGAATATGAAGCGGATAGAAAATCCCGGAAAAAACTAGGTATGGAATTGTGCAAACTGTCCTCCCTATCCTAACTAGGCGGAACAGTCTATTTGATTTTTATGGGACATTTATCCCTCGTAATAATTTCATCTTTTACCTATCCCGACTGGGCATCAAATCGCATGGTCTTAGGCCTCATTGACCAGTCAAGGACCATTAGGTCCATTGTCCGGTACAAATGACAGCCCAACCCTTCCTACATTAATTCCTTTTAGGCAATGTTACTTGTGTTATAGGATCGTGGTTTCCTTAGCTTAAACTCTACAGCCCTATTCAGAGAGTTGACTAAACGTTTTGTTGCGATTTGTGTGGACATTGAATAGTAGGCAGTCTTTTTTCACTGTACAGCTTCGCAGCTGCTAAACCCGGTGAATGGAGTATTATAAGAGCCGTGAAATGAAATCAAATGCCAGTGCACTGTGTCTCTCAATAGCCGTGTTTCCTAACAGTGGGTGACAATGCCTACCGTTCTGGCGTACCAACAGCGATCACAAGTGACTACCTGGTCAAACTCTCCGTGCTCCCCAAACCCACGTTGATAAAACCATAATGCACTATGATAAAGACTGGGGCGGTTGGAACGGGACTTTCAAAAGCTCCATACCTAACAATCGATAACAGCTACCTCTCAACTATAGGGTGATCTTAGAATCTAACCCAGGGTGCCCTATGTAGGAATTAATATCTTGCTGATCGGTCGTTCCTTTCAGGACTATGGTGAAGGAAATCTACTCAAGCTGCCTGCATTGCGCTCTATCTACACAAACTAGGGGGCTCAAGGCTTTTCTCATGTTGCTGGGATCAGTTCATTCTCTCTCTCTCTCCATACCTTGCAGCCTTATCAATCTCTACACCAAACTATTATTCTCTTGGGTTTGTTTTGGAAGCTGTTTGGCCTGCCCAATTGTTCCCTGGCACAGCTGTTTAGCATTTCCTTGCCTTGAGTGTATCCATCCCAAGTGGCTCAGGAATGGCGTATCAAATCTGACCCCAAGGAAGATGTTTTTAAGGGGTTTCGAGTGTTTTCAGAAATTTTTCGGCAATCTCCGACCAGTATTAACCGCCTATCACTGACAATGATCAAGCTTTCTTTCTACAGGGCTGAGGAACATTTGAACATGGCAGGAAATACATTTAGAAAATGAGTTTATGAGATGCTCCTTGCAGACCAGGTGAGGCCACATGATTGTACAGGGGGGAGAGGGCACTGATGGGGAGGGGAGGCGCTAAGGGGGAAGGGTGGCTGGTTGAGAGGGGAAGGGACTTAGATTTCATTCCCACACGTTTTCGATTTGTGGCAATCCAAAACACATCAAGAACGGGAAAGGTTAATGTTCGTGTTGTTAAGAATGCAAACATGTGAAGCAGGAATAAAAACAATTCTCAACGGCCCAAAGCAGATATCTCCAAGTAGGCAAATTATTAAATTTATTTTTTTTATCCAACATAAATAATCAGAAGTAAATATTATTGATTTTACCCCCAGCACTGAGAAATAAAATCTCAACTCTAGCCAATGTATACAGTTGGTCACGAAAACAAAAATTCAGAAATATTTTTGAAATTTAATAAATAATTGATTTCTCATCTTCTAAACATAAAACCACGCTGTGCGATTCTTAAGTCAACGTGTGACACGTCTTGACTGTGTCTGTATGGTCGCAGATAGGTCGTTGTAAAGACAAGAGATTAATGGTTGGGACATTTATGTCCCAATGTCATAAATAGGACAGTAAAAAGATCATCGGAAGCCTCGAATCAATAGCCAGAAACTGCCACCCTTTTGAACTGGTCGTTTTCAGACGACATACAAAAACCGTGTTCTTCTCCAACTTTATGAGAAGACACTTTATTAAATCTGCCTAATTTGTTATTCCACTGACAGTTGCAATTGTGTTGGCAACTCCCAAGAAAGCATAAAATCTGACCGTAAACTGAATGAAATTTCAAGTTGGTGACAGGAAGACTAGGTGACGAGCTAACGTTTATTTCATCCAAATTATGATGACAACTCTTTCTTCACCAATTTCTGGCCAGTAGTTATTAAGTTGTCCTAAATCAGAAATATGTACAGAATATCTCAAAATTATTAAATTTGGGTTACCCTTTTTGACATGTTTGCTGATTTGGAAGTAACTCTTTGCAATTATAAAGAGACTAAACTCATATCGAAACTGATAAAATAGCAATGGTGGTTCATTTGAAAAATTGGAATTAAAAATTGTCTGGGAAGAATGTCTTTCTCATAAAACTTTTGCAGCAATTGACTGTAAAAATATTGATTTAAAATCATGTGTTGCAAGCTTTCCCATATAATCTAACTGCTTTTTAATGAATGCTATGAAAAATACAAACTTAATATCATCGCCATAGCCAAACAAGGACATAAAAATGTCAATCCTTTTTTTAAGAGCAACATTATGATTGCATGTCCAGTTTATACTCATAAAATATCATCTTTGTGCTCCAGAAACTACTTTTTCCCCTGATGTAACAAATGTATATTATTCTCTCTACAAAGTCACAATAAGGATTGAACATATGAACAGTAATCAGAACTAAGCTTGTAATGTCAAGTTGAAATCGTGAAATTAGAATTTAAAAAATCAGACTGAAAAGAAAATTATGAATTTTACTTGCATTAAGTATCTATTCAGATATCAATCCAAATTTAAAAGATCTGTATAGTTCATAAAAGCAATCAGAAATAGCATCACATGAAATAGGAGATAGGCAGATATCTTCTGCAACTGTAATGGACAATATCGCTTAGAAAGTGTGTATTTCCATGTATGACAAGTATTAGCTTACTGACACACGTAAATGATATTTCCTTATTCCTGGCGTCCTATTGATTTGATGGATAGAGATACACAACAATGGTCATTTGACACACACATTCATTGTCTATGTCATGCACATTTCAACATGAAATTAAAATCCTTCAACATTATTAGAGTAATGATAGCCAGCTTTGCCACAACTGTTCGGAGGGTAGAAATAAACCATAGTCAATGAACCCTAACTTTGTACCTAACAAATTTCAACATTTGCTGATTTTCACTAAACCGGAAGGTGAGTTATTTCTACTGTTAGCTTGTAGGTAGAAATCAACAAACATTAGAATGTTGATACTGTTAATCAAATATGAAATCAGCATGCTTAGTGGTGAAATGGGATTTGGCCACAAGTTTTTCTCATAATTTGATGACATATGTCTTGGTCGTCCAGAGTAGGGGAAACAGATCATGCCCTTTCTGTAGTAAATATTTTATTTTTGCAGCTTTTTCATTACTGGATGTTGAATTTGTTTGGCCATATACCAGTCTGTTAGTGCTTATACAGCCCCTTCCGACTTCTCAAAACAATCCCTTCTTGCAAGGATAACAAGTTTTCCATCAGCACTGTAGTCAGGCATGAAGAGAAAGGCCAACAGAGTCAAAGACTTGTGCACATGACTAAACCTCGGACCTAAAGAGAAAAACGCAATATTGGATTTCTTTTCTGATATATCCAGTGCCTGTTCGAATGGCTGCTTTGGGGGGAAAGTGGGAGGGGGAGGGACTCAGGGGGGTGAGAAACCTCCTTTCGTTTTATTTTCTGGATCAGTTCCCTTGAAAATCACCTCTCTCCAAACTTGTGTCTGTTTAGGCCCCAGATTATAAGGAAAAGTACATAGGACGAGGGTTGAAACAAACGAGCATCACTTTCGTTCCACATCTACGGCATGATTGAAATCCCAGATACATAGTTAGACTGATTTAGTACAGAATACACTTCCTAGATATGGCTGACATCAACCATTTTAACAGTAAGACATTGCAGTTTCATTGAAACTAAACAATAAACTTGTCTCCTTTTTCCCATGAGGAGGGGAAGAAGTTGTGTTCCTGTTGCGATCTAATTGGGGTGCTTATCTGTGTGTCTTCTTTTTCATTCCTCCTTGTTATATACACACGTACATATCGTTCTGCCCGAAATAGACAAGCTGGCCAACATTCTGCCACACTGGCAGGGCTCACTTTGCCATGTTTTCTTATCCATTAGTTGGAAAAACTGCACGTTTCCTTGCTAAAAACCTGATCAATTCCGAAACTCAAAACCTGTCAAATTATGACGACTGACATCTTGGCAATCAATTACCTCCATGTTTTTTTCTAAATTTCATCATGAATTTTTACCCCCTTACCCCCGAAAGCAAATTTTGGACTAGTATCATCAAAGATTAGAGATATGAGATGGGACGGTTCTGTCCTGGTGTTGATGTTTAAGACACAACTGCCAAAGACTTTACGTAAGTTATCTAAAACTATGCTTCTATAAACTTCAAATAAAAGCCTCTAAATTTTTAACCCTGTTTTCCAAGACATTATTCTTTGAAATTTGATTTCATGGCCACCGAAGGGGGAAATGGAGGTCAGAGGGTTAACAAGCACCATGGCCAGATGTAATGTTTCAAAAGAATGTAGTGCATCATTTTTCAATAGAGTGAGTGAACCCGCTCTTCCTCGGCTAACTTGACGAGATCTTGAGTCGCACAGAAAAGAACTTGCAACTCCTTTTAGTTCTAAACTTTGAAAATTTCAACAGAATTGAGCTTTTAACTTGAATTGATATTCACATTTCTCATTTTGAATATAAAAGTCTGGATTTGTAATGGGCTCAAAGTTCTCCTGATTTTCTCTCATTACTACAGATATTTATTTGTCAGAGAATAAATTTAAAATTCAAACAAAATAATCAAAGAGAAGCCTGAAGTTTGAAAATGATATTTTTTCTAAATTTTCATTTTGTTTTTAGGTGCATGAAATTTGGGTGCATATGAAGTTTCTGTGCGACTGACATTATAAATGTCAATTTCATGAATAGATTTTTAAAAAATAGTATAAATGAAATAAATGTGTTTTTACCTGACTCGCTGTTGTTTTCTGCATTGTGTGAGGAATTAGTATTTGGCTGACTAGATGGCACTGGTGTATCCCCAGACCGGGAGGACTGTGTATCATCGGCCTGGCTGTAATTCAAACTTTGTGATGGCGGCCTCTGCAAAAACAAACATCAACACCATGTACATATAAACTTTTAAACACATTTCCCTGGAAATAGAAACATTTTGAAATCCAATTAAACACTTTTTTTCATAAATTTCATTTCATATGACCACCCTAGTAGAAACTCAGCAAATTTACTGCATCAAAACATTATTTTTTTTCAATTTAATGAGGAAAGGTTGTGTCAATGTTGTTAATTTTGTGCGATACATTTCCCTTTTGATTGACAGGGGGATTTATTTGCATGTTTCAGGTGATATTCCTCAACTGGGGTCAACGAGGCAGGGTAACAAGGAGGGTTTACTGCGGCCTGTATACAAAGTCAACCCTTAGTCTCAGGATACCATATACATAATGAGTTTTGCCCGTACACACACAATGTTTGCTAGTTGGAGCTAGGACGCTGGGAACAAAATACTCCACAGAAAGGAACTGCATTTACCATAGAGGCTCATGGAGTAGGCTTTCTCTAGTTTTTCTTACATTCGACCACTCCTGCCAAATCTATTCTAGCGATAATCTCATATTGAGGCCCTTGAAAGGAGGTTTTAGACACTTTTACTAACACTTGCGCTCATGGTCTTGAGCTAACTAGGTTTCTATTCATGTCTGAATGTCTGTGGGTTACCGACACTGTATAAGGCAGGCAAGATGATATTTTTATTCATACAAATATGAAATGGATGAATTTGCTTTCTGAAGCTCTCAAACTTGGGAGAAGAAAAAGGGTGTTTACCCGCCCTTGACTGGTGAATGTGGTGGGACCTGGTAGTATCGTGTGTGAGTCTTTAACACTGTTGAAATCTCATTTGTGACGAGACCTCAATAGCAAGTCTGTTAAAGTTTGCAAAGCGCAAGAATGTCCCACGACGACTTCCTTGACACACAGGGTTAGAAGGAACTTTATCTGTCTACGATAAAGCTGTGCATTGTTGACAATTGTGAATAGCCCTACCTATCCCATACAATCCTGGAGTGTCCACGGCTCTCTGTAATTATCGAATACTTCCACTATATAAAAGACTGAAATCAACGCTGGCGATCTGAATGGTCTTAAAGTCGCCGTGGCTCAGATAGCCTGATAGTATTCACAGTGCTAAATGCAGAAAAATTTGCATGGTGCTGTTGGCACATTGACTTTGTCAATCTCACACGGGGTAATTTCTGATGGTCAGATTTACTCCTGCTACAAGATGAGCTGAATGATTGTTCAGCAGATAGTTTTTTCAAGTTTATGTGATTCAGAGACACCTACCATTGATAATAAATGTTCAAGCTAGCAGTATACATGTTGAGACGATGTGGAGGGGGTTACGTGTCCCTCCAGCAAGTGCCACCATGGGTGGGTGTTAACTTATGACACAATGTCTGTCCCAATAACCAAAAGCAAACCCAGCTGAGTTGGTTTTATTCAAGTGTGTACTGATGAAAGAGAAAAGGAATAAATTTTAAACAAATAATTATGAATACGTTAAATATATAAGTCACAGGTGAATAGATGTACCCACAATCCTGTCACAAAAAAACCATTTTAAAAATATTTAAAAAGTTAAAAGTCAAACTTTCACTTGCAACATTTATACACTTAAACATAAACTGAAATATAAATTATGAAAGTTACAACTCGACAGCGAAATAGACAAGCAGGTGTATATTACAGTGTTTATTTCGGTCAATTTCAGAACAAGAAGCAGTTGTCTGTGATAGCAGCTCCTTATATAGCAGGCCAGTGTCATCTGATCATGAGTACATGGCCCCAAGGTTCATGCACGACTAACGCCTGTTCATGAATTGCGTGGTCGCGACGACTCACCCGACACCACTACCGACAGGTAGGGACAACTCTGGGTGACGGACACAGACTGCCACCTATAGCGACGGTAGATATGATGTATCATACCTAAGGTTCGATAGCGCCACAGTGCAGGCACATTAGGCCAGAAGCTTATCAATGCTGAATCGCTTCTCCAGATATATACTATCAGCTGAACAGATACATTTCACCAAGATTAACATCTTAAAATCACCTGTTCTGCTAATGACAATTAAGTGAAGAGCTATTTTCTCTAAGTGGATCAGTCATGTGGACTTGTGTGGAGATTAATGTGATGTTAAATCATTCAGTGAGATAACATAAACAAAAATACCAGTTGAAGTATTTCACTTCCATCAGATTCTACCTGACATTATAGTATTACACTACAAATATGTACTTAAAATAACAAGTGATTGAAATTTATATTTTAATTGCTGATCCATAGTACTTTAAAAATCAAGAGTAGATAATTCATATGAAACTTAAAACATTTCCAGAGCTGTGTAAAATGAGCATAATGTTGGATATGAACATTAATGAATGTCTTAACGAAACCCTTGTTCAAATGAGTTACTTGATTACCACATAAAAAGTTAGATAAGGGATATATTTTTTTCTGCTTTCTGATGGCAAGTTTTTCCGTGCTACGTGTAAGGTTAGAGGTCATGTGAGGTACATGAACAGTAATTTGTATTTCCCGTGACTCATTTTGATAAGGTGTGTCGTTCTTAGCCAGCCCCTCACAGGTTTCCTGCATGTCAGTGACGAATAGAAACAGTTTGAAATGAAGTATACCTACAATATATTTTATTGAAAAAACCCAAAAACATACATGAATTGTAATAAATATGCTTTGTAAATATTAATAGTTTATACAGAAATCAGTTTTTTCGATCATGTTTTCTACTCAATCAAGTGACAGCATTATCAGATACCTGATCAATCACAACTTGGGACTTGTAAGTATGTACTAATTGTCGTCAGTGCATTAATGGAGGAATTTGGAACATTTAGATCTTTTTAAAATTCCATGCCAGTATAAATGTGATCAAGTCACCAGTTATACTGTGTTATTTACAACCAAAATATTGTAGGATAAAGTGTCTGCAAAATGTCCTTTTATATTTATTACCAGAAGTAACTCTATCAGCCCTAGACTTCATGTGTCAGCCAGGAAAATATCCATACAATGAAACAGACATCTGCAGCCTACAACCTTATCGATATCTATCTGTCACTATAGAATCAACCAGTTTATCCAGAATTTGCCACACATGGCCACTTATTCATGTGTAATTGTATTTTAAATGCCGCTGGGTGCAAAAATCATTAGCCTTCTGTATATCACAATATCCTAATTTTCCACGCCAGCACAAATATAACAAAATGTGTTTTGTTATTCCGGCGATCTTTGTCAATAAATTGGGAAATGTACGTTATTGTCAGTCCGCCATCTGTCAAGCGAAAGCGACAGTGATCGATTGCAGTTTAACTGTCATGGCTTTGTGAATGAATTCAAAATACTTGAGCTCCTGTAAGTAAGAAATTGATCTCGTGGCACTGGGGTTTTGATTTGTTTACATTTTCTATTATCTGAGGTTCTTTTTAGCGGAGGTGAAATGAACACAAGGGCCAGTTGTTAGGTGCAAGGTTCGAGTAGGGGGAGCTCATAGGTCTATCAGGTACATCATGGTATAGAATTGAAAATCAAACAAATAAGCAACATGGCACAAGCAAAAACAAACAGATATTTGCTGGAGTTAGAGGGATTGGCATAGGTTTGATTTCATGTTCTGTCTAGAATGACATGGTAGATATCAGCACGTCCAAATTCCCCCCATGACATACATGACAATAGTGCCTGTGAAGCATTTAATAGCTATAACAGCTTTACAATGTCCCCATGCTAAAATGTCAGAGTGCCTTGTTTGAAAATAAATCAATTTTTTTAAAATATGAAAATACAAACAAAATATTAAACTATGTGTTGACGGTACCAAAAGTTGGATTTTGCCAAAATTATTGTCAAAAGTTGTTATGAAGTATCATTTAAATGTATTTTTTTCCTGGTAGTATGTCAATGTACATACATGTGTGATAATAACAAGTATCACCTTATCATGATTATAATAAATTTACCTACTTCTAAACTAAATTGACACTTTTATTTGTGAGACAAGCCCTAGAGCTTATGGTAATGGTGAAGTAAACCCACTGGAGATTCTGTCATTATCCACTCCCACCTGTCCTAATCTCAACAGTGACCAGGGTCAAACACTGACTGACCCACTCACTGACCAACGCTCTTCATGACATATTACACCCTAGTAAACACTCCTAACCACTCCACCTCAACAGATAAACATTGCAGATCCGGGCCATGCACACACTTTCAACATGGAGTAGGGTGGTTGATTTTCAAACAATAAAATTGAAAACAATCCAACCAAATATCAGAGTCAGAGAATTACTTAGAAAATAGGGACATAAAAATATTTATATACAATTGTTCCTTTCTTTCCTAAAGAAATTATTTTTACATTCAATTTGAATGGAATACTTTTTGTATTATGAACTAATCCAGTTATCTAAATATGTTTATAAGTATATCATTTCCTTATCCTTGAGCTAAAATCTAATGATGCATTTCTGAAGCCATTTATTAACAAAAACTTGATAGGAGTGGCCTTGGGATATCTAAAAAATCTCTGATCAAGGGAGGAATCAGTTAAACAAAGCCTTACTAAGTACTTAATAGAGGCAGGTGACAGGCAGACATTCACAGATAATGAATGATCCCTCAGGTAAAGATGGATGTATGATAAGCTACAATCAAAGGTTGAAACTGCCTACCTGCTGTAATTGTATATCAATTAACAGGTGTGGGATCGGTTTGATCAACCATCACATACTACAGAAATTAACAAGCACACATTAACAACTGTTTCCAATTGAGCTGAAAGCCATAACAAATTCAATACAAAATGTAACATAAAATTGTTTGATGAATTGACAGTAATTGAAATATATTTGACACACTAACATCAAATGCTCTTTGGTAAAAAGGGAAAAGAGAGAAAAATATGTTTTTAGTCAAACATTAGGAAATAAATCTCTCCAAAAGACAGAAAAGAAATGGACCTGATTTTTTAAAAATATTTCAAGAGAAGCTTGAG